GGCATATATCAGCCTGGGTCAGAGCTTAAGCAAGTATGGGCGGGGGAGGGGGGGGGGAGTGGGAGTGTAACAGCAGAATGATAAAGTAGGGAGGGGTGAAGAGTGTTATTTGGGGTTGTGTTATTGTTCTAAGTAGAAAATTATACTAGTTTAGCCCCATTTAAAAAAAAAAAAACATAATGGGAAACTGTATTAAACAGCAGAAATACTTACAAAGGCCTATAGCTCCATATCATTGAGGATTTGTACAATGTTACAATACTGACACTAAGGATACAATAGCCGTTGTGTATAGTACCTCTGACTACATGGATTTTTCTGAACTACTGCCTCATTCATCTCTGTAAAAAGAAAAGTGAACAGCAGGTGGCAGTAACAATCCCTCTTCTTGCAATAATTGCTCGGATATCTTTTAAAAAAGGGATTTTGTATGCATTTACAAAATACATTTAAGATTCACTCATGAGGCACGGTGTCTCAGTAGGTAGCCCTGTTATCCCACACCTTTAGGGTTGAGGGTTCGAAGCCCTCTTTTTTTCTGCCTGTATTGAGTTTACATGTTCACCCCATGTCATGCAAGTTTCCTGTCACAGACTAACATGCTCTTTGGTATCTCTGTGTTGTGTGCGTGTGCACATGTGCCCTGCAATGGACTGGTATCCCATCCAGGCTGTACCTTGTGCCCTGTGATGCCTGGAATAGACTCCATGATCCTCCCACAAACCTTAATAGGATAAGTCATTTATTAAAGGGTGAAAGTGCTATTATAATCGTATTAATGATGTTTTCATGAAATACATTTTTAGTTCACTAGCTACCTGTGGAGGACTTTACACCAAGTAAATTTTTTGGCCTAGTTAACCCTTTCAAATATAGTATCACAGTGAAGTTCTTTCTGTGTTTGATGTTAAATGTATTTTTACATTCTATATTTAGTGCAGCCCAGGTTTCTGTAATTTAACGCTGGAGAGGTGCAGGTTTTCCTACTGGAGGTGACCCAACCAGAGGCTCATTTGTCTCTCTGCCTTGTTCCAGTTTACAAGGACATCCTGGCATCCGGCCGAGGGGACTCGTTCTTCATCAGGACCCACTTTGAGTATGAAAAGGAGTCTCCACAGGGTCTGTCCTTCTCACGGGGAGAGATCTTTAAGGTGGTGGACACCCTATATGATGGAAAACTGGGCAACTGGCTGGCTGTTCGAGTAGGAGGAGACAACCGGCTTCTGGAGAAGGGCATCATTCCGAATAAAAGCAGGTAACGTTGTTGCTGTTACGCCGCTATTCTTGTTGGATTGGTTGTGCATTATTACTACTAGGTTGTGCTATTTCTGGTATCCTATGCTATAGGATGTTTGGCATTTTTCTTCACCTTTAGAGTCTCTTGTAGGCCGTAAATGAAGAATGTCTTGCATCAGGCCCCAGATACACTGAGCTTCCAGCATTTCCACTTGCGGCTTGCGGCACTGAGGTTTTAAACTCACGCCGTACGCGGTGAGAATGAGAAAGGCCCTTAGCGTAAGGCCCGGCAGCTGTGAGTGATGTGCTAGGTGTTAAATCAATTTCAGCAGAGCTTCGTCAGTGGCTCACGCCTCCCTGCGCCAGTCTGCAGGGGATAGAGAACAGGAGGAGAGTTAGGGCCCCCAGCAGGAATAAAAGGTCTTTACAGCTACTTTCATCCAATCCCTTGTAAGTAACGTATTAGATGCTTAGACACGAGAAAATGTCAGAGGAAGGAGTCTATTTGCTGGAAGATTAGACTGACAGAGGATGAGGCTGGAGTGTGTCCTTCATTTGACCTCCCTCGACGAGCCTGTACCCTCAAAGAGCTTGGTCTTTCTCCCCCTGTAGGGTGACAGCACCATATAGTCACCAGCTGATATATATATATAAGAAATTCCACAACAATTGTCATCATATCATTCTGTATGAAAGGCTTCACTGTGTAGCAAACATCTCCCATATCACGGTCTGAGCTTATTAAGGTAGATTTACCTTGGTCGATAAAAGTTACACACAGGAAGTGTTTTGACATCTGTCTTTCGCCATCAGGGCTGATCAAATGGCCAGTGTGCAGAACTCTCAAAAGGGGGCAGGAAACGACAGGGCAGATTTCTGGAGGTTGCGTGGCCAAAGGGCAGCTCGGAAAAAGGACCTTCGGAAGACCCGCGATGATATGGGTTCCACCCCCATTGGTACCCGGTTCCCTGCCTACGAGAGGGTGGTCTTACGAGAAGGTAAGTCCTTTTAGTCTCCTTGACTCCCCTGCCTGTTACAGAGTGGTCTAGATTAAGCATGTCCCCTTACAGACATGGCCTCTGAGGGATTGGGCAGTTCAGGTGGCCTTCTAATCAAGAGTCATCGGATTATATCAATCAAATATGAGGTGCACCTGACAGGGTTGTAGAACCATGTTATAGAGATATCGTGTTCATCTTACATCAACTGAAACTTGGTGCAAGGATTTATCACGGATTTACTGCTTGTATCTGGACCTTTGGAGATCCCAGGTGGCCCCTGTGTCTGCAGACTCTCAAAAAAAGAAGAGGCTTTTCAGAGAGCTTGGAAAGTAACGTGAGCGATGAGAAGAGGCAGAAAAGAAAACAAATCTGCACTCCCAAGCATGTATCAGGATCACAGTGGTGCAAAGCACATTAGGATGCGTTTTATTGACTCGTTAATGAGATTTATTGATCTGGAAGCATCTGCAGTGTAACTTGTCCTTAGGCCAGAATGATAAGCTGCCACGAGGACAAGGGTTGGGGACACGGAGCCACTTCTTGACTGGTAGTTGATTAACTGAAGCCTTAAAGTCCTGGATACTGCACATATATGTAGCAGGAAACACACCTGAGCGTAACCTTGAGTGTCACTTTGCTTTGTTCTTCTTCTCAGCTGGTTTCAAGAGACCTGTGGTGCTGTTTGGACCCATCGCCGATGCAGCTATTGAGAAGCTATCCTCAGACCTGCCTAATGAGTTCCTGATTGCCAGTAAGTGCTACACCTTTGTGCTGGGGCAGGCATGTAGCAACGAGACTGTGGTCCAGGGAAACTCACTGTCCTCAAGCCTACAGGGTTTTTTTTTTTTTTCTTCGTTTTTTTCAAGTCTCATTTGCACTATTTACACAATTATTTGGGTAGTGAGTCTGCATTCATGGCTGTCTCACATGTCTCCCTCAGAAACAGAGCCCAAAGATGCGGGGTCAGAGAAGTCCCCAGGCGTGGTGCGCCTTAACACCATCCGGCAGATTATTGAACAGGTTTGGGTCACACCGCTCTGTCGGCATCACGAGTGTGTAGAAGCCGATTCAGGTCGTTTGGTGGTCAGCTGACCTGCTGTCACCCACGCCCCCTTTCTCGCTCCACCGCCCAGGAGAAGCACGCTCTGCTGGATGTGACGCCAAAGGCTGTGGACACACTCAACTACACTCAGTGGTATCCCATCGTCATCTTCTTCAACCCCGACAGCAAGCAGGGAGTGAAGACCATGCGCCAGCGTGTCATCCCAGGTTCCGGCCGCAGCTCCCGGAAGCTGCACGACCAGGCGGTCAAGCTGAGGAAGACCTGCTCACATCTCTTCACTGGTCAGTCTGAGCAGCAAAGCTTTGCATGGATCACACTCACAGGAATGAACTTCTGGAAAAATCAGAATAGTCTAACAACAAGTACAATCACTGTTAAAAGCGCTATTTAATTGTTACAGTCCAAAAGCAAAGATGAATCGGCAACCAGTAAACAAGCAGTTTATGAAAGCCTATGCTTGTACTGCAGGCTCACTCCCTATCTGTTTCCGTATCCCTGTATCTGACATGTCGTTTGTGTTCCTATGGCCACCTCTTCTGATCCCCCTCAGCCACAATTGATCTGAACTCTGCCAATGACGCGTGGTATGGGAGTGTGAAGGACTCCATACGCGAGCAGCAGGCTCAGGCCGTTTGGGTGTCCGAAGGGAAGGTAAATGGAGGCGGGGCCACGAAGATACAAACCAGCATCCCATCATAGCCCAGCTTCTCAATTCAGCCTCATTACGGCTGCAGTCTTTCCACCTCTTTAATTCTTCATGTTATACATGTTTTCTAATGGTAAACGAAGTACATCTCTAACTTTTTAATGCATGTCCTTTAGTTATTTCATTCTTTCTATCGTTATCTTAGATTTTCACACGCCAAGAAGAGCCTCCGATGCCTCTCTTGTGCATGGTTTCTTTGCATGCTTTGTTGAACATCTTCTTCAGTTGGTGGTGGTCTACAGCTTGGTTCTTTTTGTTTTTGTTTTTGTTTCGTTCCTCTCTGTACAAAGATCCATCATGTGTCTCTTTTAGCTGGACTTGACAGAAGGGGATCTTGATCTCCATGACGATCGCATGTCCTACCTCTCAGCCATGAGTGCCGACTATCTGAGCATGGATAGCCGGCTTGTCAGTGACTGCGACGACACGGCCGATGAGGGCGGGGCCTACACTGACAACGAGCCGGACGAGCCGATAGGCGAGCCGCATGTTTCTGCCATCAGTCGATCCTCCGAGCCTGTCCTAGCTGAAGAGGTGAGGTCTTGCACAATACTGGATATAACACATTCTCTGCAGTCTATCCTGGTGAGGAAGGTCTCCTATCATATAATATATGCAGAGACATATATGTATATTGTGTAAAAAGTGGAAATGGATCATGTATAAATATCTCTCTCTTTTTTTGTTGGAATTGAAGAAAAATACCAGAAATAGCAACTGCAGTTTAAAGTTCAGCATAAAGGTTAAAGTTCCATATTCGGTATATTCAGTAAAGAAAATATCAGTATTGTGTACCATCTACCTAGCCATCATTATCCATACCTTGAAATGCTGTTCTAATTCAGGATTAGTCAATTTCCGGTCCTGGAGAGCCACAATTCAGCACAGTTTGCAGACTTCCCCAATGAAACGCATCCTAATTAGCTTATTATCAGGTAGATATGTAATACATATTAATAGATATGTTTGAACAGGGAAAACTGCAAACTGTGTTGGATTCTGGTCTCCAGGACCATTTTTTGAGAAACCCTGCTTTAATTGGCCCTGTGTTGTCACATGATATCCAGACCAAACATGGCTTCTTCTGGACAGGCCCGACCCACGTTAGTCTATCGGCAGACGGTGTCCTGAGTAGGGCTGCACGATATCACATTGCGATATAACTGCCATTGCACTAGCCGACATCAAATTTGGTGAATAGTATCAAATGACATTTTTCAAACACCCTTCATAAACAAACATTTTTAGTACATATAGTTTCGCTCTAGCATGTCTGGTTTTTCTGTGATTTCGACTTAACTTTTTCTCATATACAATGCATTGTATACCTAATAATGTCATTTTGATACCAGTCATTTAAAATCACCAGTAACCTGTCATAGACTAATTGTTTTGTACAAACTAGTCAGCAGGGTTTACAGGCAGCTTGCAGTTATGTAAACTTACGGGTATGCTGCTGCAGGTCCACTGATGCTGGCCTTTGTATACAGAACTGTGAAGGGTGTTTGAAAAATGTCATTTGATATTATGAACTATAATTGTAAATTGTGACAAAACCAGATGTGCGGTGGCAAATTAGAAGCCATATTCTGAAACTACATGAAAAACTGTAGAACATGCACTTGTTTTTGTTAAATCACCTACCAAAAAATTTTTAAATGTCGGCCGGTGTTATATGCCACTTCTGCAAAAATCAGCAGGGCTTCAGGTGATGGGTGAAGCGTTTGTCCGGACACTGGCATTTTGGTACTATTCATAAGTTTACATTCATGGCCACAATTTGGTAAGCAGATTAGCAGTATGTCTAAAATATGAATAAGATGTGCAGTGTGACACCCAAAAGTTAGTGTTCTGTATAAATTCGGCGTATCCTTACATGTGTTAAATTTGGTTAGCACAGCACAGCACATGCTACTGGTTTGGTAAATCATGGAAATGATAAGCACTGAAGTGGCGGTGAAGAAAGGGGCAGCTCAGCCACAACGTATTTTAAAAGGGGAGATACTGTGGATAAGGTAAGAGGACATCGGTGGTGTGGTGGTCCTTCTTGCTATGTAAAGCTCCACACGTTTATTAAGCATAAGGATACGCCGAATTTATGCAGATTACTAACTTTTGGGCTTCATAATATTACCATTTTAGGCACACTGCAAATCTGCTTAACCAATTGTGGGCATAAGTAAACATCTGTATAGTACTGAAATGCCAGCATCCAGACAAATGTTTTGCCCATTACCTAAAACCCTGCAGATCATTGTGCATGCGGCATACAGTCGCGGTGTGATATCGAGCAGCCCTATTCCTGAGGCAGCCTCCCTGTGCCCGGTGCCAAACCCCGCCTCCCCCCTCCCCTCACACCTGTCTTTCTCCCATCGGCTGATCTGTAGCTTTCGAGGCGACCGAGCCCAGATTCACGAATACGCATGAAGACGTTTGGGATTCGGGAGGCACCTCGGGAATCTAGCCCCCCTCCTTCCTTTGTCCCTGAAACACCCAAGGTGAGACGACCCCCCCCCCCCCACCACACCTTCCCTGTTCTCCTAGATGTCACTAACCACACTACTGTAGCCTTTAATCTGCCAGGATCGGTGGTCATGAGGTGAATGAGAGTAATGAGCAGGGCAGTCAGAAACGAACCTGTGATATTACTACTGCCTGCCTTTAGCCAGCAACACAGAACCTTCTCTTTCTCCATCCTATTATAAATAGAAAAAAAAACAAATATTTGACTCCCCTTCTTTTTAAAGAATGGTGCTCCAAGGCGAATGTGTCTTCCCTGAGATTCTGACTCATCACAGAGAGGCTCAGTGGACCACAGCAGGACTTCAGTAGCTTCTGTGGTGTCATAGGGTTCCACTTACACCCTTCCAAATCCATTCTGTGTAGCTTGTCATCTGCAATATTGGTTTGAAATGCATATATGGTTCTGTTCATTATAGAAACGCAGGTTCTTTGTAGCATATATGAAGTGAATTATGTAAAGATAGAAAATTGCATTGAAGTTTATTGAATTTTATTCAGAGGTTCAGTTAATTTATCATTCTGAGATGTTTGAGAGTATGAAGTAAGGAGCTGGGTTTGTTTTATTTTGAAAGTCGTCATGTTCATGAGAACTGGAGAGTAATAAATGGAGATTGCTAGCTTTATGGATACCACACACTAGGTATTAGCCCACAGACTGCTGTGATTGCAAAAACTCATTGAGGGAAATCCGCTTTGAACTAGGATGTACTATAGCGCTGTAGCTTGGGGTGCAATTAAACTGGTTAATCTGGGTGAGACTGGTGTAAGACCACATCTGCTGGGTCTCTCCAGGGGCACCCGCAAGAGTGCTGTATGTGTTGTGGGCGGTTGGACATTCTAGGCTGTTGTGGACGAGGCTTGTTACCCTTGCAGATGAAAGCCCAGTCCCGAGACAAGGGGCTTCGCGTACAGCCCAGCCCCCGCAGAGGTTACGACTCTCACTCCAGCAGTCCCACGAGCAGCGATCACCCACGCAGCCAGGACTCCTACAGCGGAAAGCCCCTACCACCCCCCGTTTCCCTCAAACCCACCTACCAGTCCCGCATCCCCAGGGGCACGCCTGACAGCCAGCCCCCTGGTGACCGGGCTGGGGTGCCGGAGAGCCCCGAAGACCCATCCCAGAAGTCCTTTCTTGGCAAGGTGAAAGCTTTCGAGAAGATGGACCACTTTGCCCGGACGCAGAGGATGCTGGAGCTGCAGGAAGCCCAGAGCGCCAGGGTAAGCACAGCATTCATATGCAGGACCACCCTGTTTGCTTTCATTTACATTAGCTTAACCTAGATACTGGTGTTTGGCCATTAAATGAGGCATATCGATAGGTTTATTCCAATTGTCATATTGCTTTTTAGCTGGAAATTGCTCAGAGGCATCCGGATATCTATGCGGTTCCTTCGAAGCCACCAAAGGCCGACCTCAGCCGACCGCAACCAATAGGGTAAGAGCAACATCTAATCATGTGACCTTGATCATTATATTGATTAAGGCAGGAATATCTGTTCTGTCTTTGCCCAAGACTTGATGCAGCCCCAGCTTATGCCTCATCACACAGAACTTTCACGATGTTTTTGAGATTATATAAACTATTGATCATAGGGGGAAATGTGGTATCATTGATTTATATTTATTTACACTACATTTATTTGTCCAAAGTGAAACGAGGCAAGTAGCACATTACAAACATTCATGCCGTCAAGGAGTCGCCTAGGCATAAGTGCAGGTAGGCTGAGCTTCCAGTGAAGGTCCAGCTTCAAGAGAGTGTTGGAGCAACAGCTACACAACATCTGCCAGACGAAGCAAGAGCTTAATAAGACTACAATTCAGTCAGTAGAAAATGCAATAAAAGCATTATTCATTACTCTTATTTCTTTATGATCGATATTCTTTTTCTTATTTGTAAGGATACTTACATTTTAGTAAATTATACAGCTTGATGTTTTTCTGGGACCAGGTCAGACACTTTATTGCAAGAGTAAGATTCCCTAAACATTCACAAGTTCAGCTCCTTAACACCTGCACTACTAGCATTTAATTTCTTGTCAGACCTTTAAAGCAACTTTAATATTGTAATCATTTTTAGTTTTCCCCCATTTGCGCCATTAGATTAATGGGGCAATTTACTCAGTGATATAGCAGCAGCGCCCCCCTCTGTGGCTATGGCGTAACAGCAGGGGCAAACAGTAGGGTTCTAGCCGCAAGTGGCCTAAATCTTGGGACAGTTTACTTAACGTGACCTGGTGCTACAAAATGGATTAACTGCTGTACTAAATGGGCATTGTGTGTTTTTTGGGGTTAGGACAGTTTAAGAAGGTTGCAGGTTCAAATCCCATGGTTGTCAGAATCTTTCCACTGTTAGACACTTGAGTAAGGCCTTTAACCCAAACTGGACTGGCTCATCCTGCTTTCACAGTAGCATGTCACTTTGGTTTTAACTGCTAAATAAATAAATGTAAATGTTGTATGATCAGGTCAGGATACAGTGGGCTTTGGGGTAGGGGGACTCCACCTACTAAGCTGACAGGATAACGGCTTGTCTCCTGTGCCCAGTTCAAGCTCGCGGCCAGAGCCCCAGACCTCGCCTTCCAAGCAGCCCTACTCTGAGAGCCGGTCACCATATTACCACGGCGGGGAAGAGGAGTACCGGCAGCAGCTGGCCGAACAGAACACACGGGGCTACCCTGGCAGCTCACAGCAGTACCAGGACACTGAGCTGTAGAGGCAGCTATAGAGGCAGACAGCCTCGGCTGGCCACCGGCCACCATTCCACAGGGTACATACACTCCCTGCACCGACCTGCTGCTGACTCAGAAGCCTTCCTCTTTTTAAGTTGTCCTTGCTTCTAAGAAGTTCAAATATCTGTCCATGTGGATAAAAAAAAAAGTTGGATTTATTTGTATTTACTTGTTTTGTTTATTAATCAGGAGCCACTTTCTATTGCCTATGCAAACATTTCAGTTTCTACAGAGCAGCTGCAAACGATCGCCACGTTGTCCCTTTTTCTGACTTCGAACCAAAACTTCTTGACTTTTTGCAGCCCGTTTTGTTACGTTTTTGTTTTTGTAATCGTCGAAGAGTAAACAACTACCAGTCTGTCTCACCAGGTCATTTGTAATTACACGTTTGGTCATCTTCTCTCCATCTATTCCTGCCTTCCTGTGAACACGCTCAGACACACATGCGCACACTGGGATTTGCTAATGTGTTTTTGAAGTGCCTTTTTTCCTTTGAATACCATGGTTGTGTGATGCACGTAGAACAAACGAGCCCATTGCGAGCAGAGAACCATCAAATCTGAAGGGATAACAGGGAACCAACGACACCAGAACCTTAACGATAAATGTCCCCGTCTTCATTGCGAGCGGTGTGTGGTCAGAACGGTCTCTTTCAGAATAGGGATTCTGAGAAGACCGGCTGGAATATGAGAGTGTTGTCATTTGACCACAAAATTTGAATGTATACTACATCTGCTTGATTATATGTTGGTTTACTATATTTTCATGGAAGAGCTACAGTGTTTCAAACATGGTTTTCATTCGCTGCATTCCGCTTGTTTGGATATAACTGTGAGAAGAATGAGACCATGGTCGTTTGGTCTTGTGTGAGCCCTTGAAGTTTAATTTGCTACACCAAATACAAATAAAGCTAACAAGTTAATTTTTTAAAAAGGTAAACAGTATTATGATAAATAATATAAAGACACTTGTTTTTACTGCAGTATAAAATGTATTTTACAAAAGTTTGGTGTTAAAATAAATCTCACACATACTCTCTGTACACAAACTTCGAGCCATGTCATTACCCTGGCCTCTGGGATCCTCACTCTGGAAAAGAAAAAAAAAAACTAAGGAAATAATAAAACAGTTCTGTTAATGTTTCTGCTGTGTTGAACACTTTTTGATTAGTAAGTTACACTGGTAAAGGAAATGTTTCATTACTACGTGATGTATAGATACGTACCTCAATCCCTGTGGTCTGCTTTTGCATATATTACACAGCTAACCACCAGGGGGAGCTCAAGTTTGTTTCACAAATACTATATATAGCCTGAGAAATGTGATTTAAATGGAGTTTGGCCCCAATTTTTTTTATTGAACAGCTATATTGTATTATTATTGATTATCAGTTAAGAAAAATAAATTATGTAATAAACCAGACAATGTGATGTTGGGATGCTGCTACAATTTAATTGTAAATAATGAAGAGCTCTTAAAAATCTTTGGTGCTGGAATGAAATTCCAAAACTGAAAATGTACCTGCAGGTATGGTGCTGCAAAGCTCCAGTGATACTCTAATAATACAGTTGCAGTATTATTTGAGTGAAGATGGAACAACGCATGACTTGAACAACATAAAGGGAGTTAAAGGATGTTAAAAAAGTTGACTGTAAATGTCACAGTCTCTGCTGTAAGGCAGGAACCCTGTAGGCTGGCAGTCCTCCTCTTCAGGTTAGCCTTACCTTAATGATACATCTCAGTTTTACTGAGAAACCCAAAACTTCTGTGTAACCGATGCCAGGCCGAGGTACTGCCAAGCTTCTGGCTGAGACTGGAACATGCCTTAGCAAGTGTCTGAGAGCAGCTGGTCATTTCCCATGTGCTCCGATCTGGCTGTACCAGCCAGCTTTGCAGAATGGGCTAGGTAAGTGTGGTGGATATTTATTATATACACTATTAAAAGTGATTAACCCAGTTTTCCACTGTTTTTTTTCCCCACTCGTACACAACAATGAAATTAATTTACTGGTTTCACTAGTTACTTAAACAGTAAGTTTGCCTTCGTACCCAGATCATTTACATGTATTAAGATAAATGCCAATAATTTGGTGATTGTATATTTTGCACCCATAGATTTATTGAACATAAGCAAATGTGCGATTTGAGACTGATTTTAAAAAGAGAGTTTTGGTGATTAAACATCAGTGTTTAACTGCTAAAATCTATAGGTGTGGCTAATTACATAAATCACAAGATTGCCTCAAAGATGATTGATCCAAAGCACAATGGGCGCCGAGGAGGTGGACCTTCTGCGTTTGGAGATTAGACTGTCAGAGATGAGAAGAAAAACCACTAGCAGTTACTCTGGATTTGCAGAAAATGTGCCAGTTAGCCAGGAGAATAACAGCTGAGAACATGGGCTGCCCTGCATTGTTAAAGGGTTGGAAATATGGAAGAAAGGCAGAAGGTGGAGGGATGGGACTCTGAGCCAGCAGAGGAGTAGGAGGAGGTGAGGGGTTATGGAGTGGAAAAGAGGGAGTGAACGATTTGGAGTGACAGAACGACCTTACGATAACGGACTGCAACAGGCAATTACTCTGTTGTGGAGTAAAGTATCAGTTTTGATATATTTCAGAAGAAACTAGCAGGAACAAGTGAGGGCTTTTACATGGTCAAAGTGAAGAATTACAGTCGACAGTGACACTGAAATTCCTGGAGATCTGCAGAACGAGAGAGTTCAAGATTTTGGTACAGAGCTTGGAACTAATGTGGTACAGCAAGAGATTCTGAGTCCCATGAAAGCATATATGGGGCCCCAAATCTAGTTATGTTCTGCATTTTTCAGGGCTCCTGTCACTCAAGGGCCCTTGGAATTAACCTAACCCTCCCCTCTCCTCCCTTTACTGTGCCTCTGGGCACACCTCAGGTTAAGTGAGACAGAAATGGAGTTTCAGCGTTCATTCCATTGCCAACTGGTGCCTCCCTCTTCCATAGATAGATACAGTGGTAGATCAATGAGATGGTTTTGCCAGGAAATGTCTGGCAGTGAGCTCTCTCTGATACAATACAGCCAACCTCAATTGCCAGACAGCTGGAAGACTAACGGAGAAAAACTATTACTATAAATGTGTACATTTCCTGCTCTGTGGTACATCGGGTAAACGGATCACCAGCCATGAAACAGTAATCACTATATAAGATTACGTATAAAATTCAGGTAGTCTGTGTGGGCCATCTCAGATGCCTCATCTCGCGTTACATTAATGAGTTTATGAAGCAAAAGGCAATTAGCAGCAGTCACAGTGGTTATTGTGAGATTGCGGCAGCATTATAATTATCATTCACGATTATTAATTATGCATACAAATATAACAATTCCTGGTGATTTCAATTGCCCCGCTAAGACACTTTATACATCCCATTGTCTCCCTTTAGAAATAGATGCGGTGCATAATGGCATAAGGCAACCATCCATTCGGTTTGTACTCATCTTACTGGTTTATTGCAGAGACGGGATGTGACTGAATCGGTATGCTAATCGTAAACTTTACACCAGTCATCAATTATCCCCAAACGAGGCAAGACCTATTAAATCAACAGAAATTGCCCTGGAGAGAGAACGGGAGGTTTTAAACTGATAGATCACTATAGTCAAGTTTTTCCAACTGTGTATTTACAATGCATGACTGTAGGATGTAAAGACCCCCCCCCGACATTGCTTTAAATAATAACCGGGAGCCTTAACCACGCTGCGGTGGCCCTGCGCGCATGTGGGTCTTCGAAGTGAGCGCGTCCCCTCCCCTTTCTGACCCGCTGCCAAAGTATGTGAAATGCAATCCAAACACCCGGTCACAGAGCAGTTATTTTAAAACTTAAAACTCAGCTATTTCTAGACGAACATGGGGAGAATAAATAATGGATTGGTGGAAAATATCCCGACAAAGACTCGGTAACTAAAAAAAAAAAAAGGAAAAAGGGGGGGAAAAAACTATCGGCGGAGTACAATGCCATGATGCCTCCCATTGTGGATCGGCTTTTGTTGCGCGCCGTCGGCTCTTTTACGGACTGAACCACTTCGATGTCTCTGCCTGTGGTCCTCCCCGGATCTTGTTGTCCTGTTGCTGGGGTCTCGCTGGCGTCTCAGTTAACCGATCCGGCTCACAGGAGTCGCCCCCGCTGCATTTCTGCTGGTGCGACTCGCATGCCTGCTTCCCAGTCGCGGTTGATCCCCGCGCTGCTCCCCGGCCGACCGCTGCTGTCCCTGGGACTGCTGCAGCTGGTGCTGGGCTGCTCCATGGTGGCGCTGTCCTTCGGAGCGCTGTCGCTCAGTAGCTCGCCGCCGATCCGGAATTCGTGCCCGTTCTGGGCCGGGTCCTCCGTAAGTACGGCTCCGTTCACTCTCGGCCCTGTTTTCGTGGAGCGGTCGGCGTGGTCACCCGCGCTCTCTCTTCGCGGCTCCGCATTTTAGCGGCTAACTTTACTAGCATGCTACACGCACAGGAGCGGCCACCCAGAAACAGCTTGCTTTGTGGGCGACTAACTACGCCGGCGTGCTTTATAACGGGTGTCTATCGGTCGCACGGAGACTTTGAAGTCGCGCACCTGAGTTAGCGGCGCGGAACCATCAACAGGTATCCCCCAAAAGCGGGCCCTGAAAACGGCCACTGTGAGAGACTTGGGTGCCGCTCCGGCCGCTTTCACACATATTTTAAACATGCAAACCATCCTGTTTAATGGAGGATAAAAACAATGAACAATGAATAGTAATCATGTCGAGCGCCGCGTGACTGGTACGGCTCTGATCCGACCCGATGACAGCAGCCATGGTGTCAAAATTTCTCCCTAATTAGTGTAATGAATGCAGTCTAATCAGTGGCTGAAACACGTATTTTAAAATGGCAACGTTATCATAATTGCAATATTTGAAATATCTGTGTCGAAAAATGTGCCGCCTTTGAATGTGATTTGGGACATCCCGGCCAGGGTGCCCTTTGCCGCCTGGGATAGGGGACAGCTCCCCTGCAACCCTGATCAGGATAAAGGGGTGGAAGATGGAAGAATGCGTATAACTAGTTCTAGTAAAACTACTTTTATTAATTAAAAAGATTATGCATTTAAATATTGTGGATGATATTACCAGAGTGTTTTGTTCAGATGAGTGGCTGTGTTACCAAATGACATGGTGATGATGAGGACAGTAGTACTGTGTTGGACAGTATAGGAAAATCTTGTTTCTGAAAATCCTCACCTCTTCCAGTAACACAGTTCCTCAGACACCATTCATATCCACTGTGATGGCCAGTGATCTGCAGGATAAGACAGGGTTGTCTTATAGATGGTGCAGTAAGGTTTCCAACGACCATAATAGCGTCAGAACCTACGGTTCTTAATGGTCTGGAGATGGTTAGAGGGAGCTGGCTGGTCCGCTGGCTTGATAGCCGAATATGCGATGTTGCTGTTAAGTCACGTGTCCGTGATCATTAGGAGACAGCAACTGAATTGACTTCAGTTTCATTGAATTTAATTGAATTGAATTGAATTGATGTTATTGTCTTTGGGCTATCTGGAGGTAACCAATACTGTTGTGAATGTTTAAGGCCAAGATAAGAAGGATAAACTTTGGCTGCTGCTATTCACTTTGGTGTCAAGTTCAATTTTAGCATAACTAACCCAATAGCAAGGGTTCCACTACCATTCGCCGGTATATATCAACTATATGCAAATATATGCAGTATCTTCGTTGTTCTATGTACTATAGTACTGTAGCTGAATTCACCAAATTGGTGTCTCAGTAATTAACATTATACTATATTAAGAAAGTCAGTGCTATATAAGGAGTCAACTTTTTAGGTCATAGGTGAAAATGTTTTGCTATATTTAGTTTTTCTGTAATTATCCTGCAGTGATGTCATTCACTTGTACCTCAATTACCAGTGTGTCAGTTTTATAATGTACCTGAAACATTGTTTTTTCTCTTCTTTTATATTAGTTGCTATGGCCTGTTTTGTGAAATAATTGATAATTAACTAGTTAAAAGCTGTTCAGCACCAGTTTGGATTCAAAATGCTTTGAGTCTGTTTCCAATAAACTTGTTTGCAGAACTAAATTTGTCAACTAGCCATTTTGTGTTACACCTGTATGTAATGTTTCGTAAGCATCTCACAATTAAGATATCTGATTGGGTAACTTTGTTGCTGTTGAGGCCAAGTTACAGGTTATGACTGTTGATTTTCTGGAGCTTGTCAAAGCGCATGACTGTTTTGCGGCGTTTTCCTTTGCATTTTGGTTCAGCGACTTTTGGCATCTGTTGCTACTGCAAATTGTATTTCATCTGAGCTCACGCTGCCTCAATGTTCTTATATCAGAGTTATGTGACGCACACACCGAGTTATATTGTTTTCTGTCCTCCAGCCCAATTACCTTTATCATAAATAGTTCTTTGAAATTGTTTTTCTGATTATGGGCATTTTATGAATAATGAGGCTCCATTTAAAGAACTGTGTAGAGGTGCACAAGCTAATATTAAAATGTTTTTCAAAAGAATTTGTGTCTCTAGTTTTCAAGCACTAACATCCTTCCAGTAAAATGTATGGGGTATTTCAGTTGGATGCTGAAACGTGTCAGTAGTTATTTTCGGTGAGGAGTGGAGGTTGGAGGTTACTCTAGATTGAAATCTAGAATAAATGCAACCTAAATTCCCCCTCCCTCCATATATATATATATATATATATTTATTTAATTGTTAAAAAAGCATCCATAGCTGTTTGTTTTCCATAAATATCCTAAAAATATATATTTTTTGTGATTAAATACTTTGGAGGGCTGGTAGTTTTTCACATCTCACATCTTAAAATGTTACTGAGGTAAATAAACACTGTTTCCATACTTACCTAGTATTGGCTTTTCGATAACAGTGACGTTAGAACAGCTACACTGTTATGAGTGTGAAAAAGGGTGTTTAACATTGCACTTGT